CAAGTTATTAATTAATAGGATTACCGTGACTAGGAGTGAGTTTGCTCGCATAAACTGTCACAAGACTTACGAGTACGAATGTGTTCAACCGGGCCTATAAAGGAGAAACAATGGTCATGAAGAACCTTGAACTGTAAAGAAGATCAGGTTTAATGAAATCGTACCCGAGACGAGTGAATTAGCCGTTCCCGCAATTGCACCGGACCAATACAACTGTGGATTCGTGAGGGGTGCCCCGGTGCCCCCATTGCTGTCATTGAAGAGACGCTTCATGAATTCCAAAACCACAAATTGGATTGAAACACATGCCCCGACACCGACTAAAGGAGTTGTTGTTCCCTATATTTTCTGCGGTAAGCGTCAAAGCAAAGCGACAAGTGATCCATGCAGTATGTCAAAGTGATAAGTCCGGACCTTGTAAAATGCCCTGAATCCTTCATTTTTCCTGATTTTTCGAGTACAATCAAACATACCAGTGTACTTCGCTTGTTCTCCGGGTTTGGGTATCGGTTGTGTCTGAAGCCTCTGTGGATTCACAATGTAAAACGTGTTTTTAGACCGTCCTAACAAGACTTGAACTCAATGTCTGTTTCGAAGAATACATACTACTTTGACAATGTCAAATGGCTTTTTTTTTTTTTTTTTTCGGTTAGAATTTCTACGTCAAAGCAAAAAAATCCGACTTCGCCCACTGAATTGCCTCCCACCTGTCCGACGAACACTTGAACAATGCCACCAACAGTTCCACTGGCGCAATCTTTGACAACTCTCAAAGAACCTCCTTGAGTTTTGTCCGGCATATTCTCTTTTTACCGCTATATGTATGTCATCTAATTGTTTTTGTATATTGAATAGATTAAATATACCAAAATAATGAAATATGCCGAATGTCGTTTTATTATCGTGCAGATATGCAGTATATAAACAATTTCCTATAAGCGTTAAAACGTGACATAATATGTAATATTTACTTTCCGAAAAGATCTATTGATTGGTTGGGATTTTCGGAACGGAGCAAACAGGAATTAAAATAACCGACCACTCATTCATTTATCCTACAATTTTTCGCGATAACGAAAAAAAAAAAAAAAATCACCTCATGAATCGTCCTTCATTAAGAAAAATAAAGTAAATATGTTTCAAAATTCCTATAAAATCCCGTTTGTTTCATTGCAAGGTCCATTCGCCTTGGTTTCCTCAAAACGGATAATAATTTCCTCGTTAAACTATCAAAAAAAACACCGCATATCTAAAACCTTTAACGTTCAAATATTTGTTTACAATGCAGGCTACGACAGGTTAGTTGTCGGCTTTTGGCTTTGCCTTTTGGTGCAAGGCGAAGAAATTCGGGATACTACTTAGAGAATCCGCTATACCTTGTTTTTATAAACTGAACTCGGAGCAATACCCATTCTTCTTTGCAAACGTCTTTCGACTTCAAAATTTGTAGGAGCTCGACGTTCCAAGGTTCTCACGTACGACAGCATAAATTCTCACGTCAAGAAGGTTGAATATGCCGTTCGCGGCGAATTGGCGATTCGTGCAGAAAAAATCAAAGAAAAACTGGCGAAAAATGAGGATTTGGGTTTCGAAGCCGTCGTAAATTGCAATATTGGAAACCCGCAACAACTGATGCAGCGCCCAATCACTTTTTTCCGTCAAGTAAGTGGGCGCGAAAGTCGATTACGACTGCGTCGTTCGTCGAATAATCCCGTGATCTTTTTCTTTCCGCATAGGTTGCCGCCTTAACCGAATATCCCGACCTCCTGTCACCCGAAAATCAAGATCACGTGAAGGCACTGTTTCCCTCCGACGCTATAGAGCGCGCACGAAAATTGCTAAAGCAGATTGGAAGCGTCGGTGCCTACTCACACTCCCAGGGCGTTCCTCACATAAGGCAAGATGTGGCCAAATTCATAGAAGGTATGTCACGTGAAAGTCATGCGGTGGACGGGTTACGCGCCCTATATAACAACACATCTTCATCAAAAATACAGAACGAGACGGGTATCCATCCGACATGAACAATATATTCTTAACTCAAGGAGCCTCCTCTGGTGTACAAAGCGTGCTGCAATTGATAATCACCCACCCTGACGTCGGAGTCATGATACCTATCCCACAATACCCTCTTTACAGTGCTACCCTTTCACTCTTCAACGCACGTGCCGTACCTTATTATTTGAATGAGGATGATGATTGGAGCTTAGATATCGACCAGTTGACCTCATCACTTGCCAATGGACGATCGAAGGGTTGCGAGGTTCGGGCTCTTGTTATCATCAATCCCGGAAATCCGACCGGACAATGCTTGACGGAACGTAATATGCGTGAGATCATAGAATTTTGTTATAACGAACGCATCGTTCTTTTGGCCGATGAGGTTTATCAAACCAACATCTATCGGCCTTCCGAACGCCCATTTCACTCTTTCAAAAAAATTCTCAGATCCATGGGCAGTAAATATGAAGATTTTGAACTTTTCTCGTTTCACTCAATTTCCAAAGGAATGATTGGTGAATGCGGAAGGCGTGGTGGTTATTATGAATGCACGGGTATCGATCGGGAGGTTGTCGGTCAACTTTACAAGCTTGCCTCGGTGAGCCTTTGTCCGAATGTGCAAGGTCAGATCATGGTGGATCTGATGGTGAAACCACCAAAGCGCGGTGACCCCAGCCATGAATTGTACCAAAAGGAATTGAAGGGAATATATGCGAGCTTGAAACGAAGAAGTGAAAAATTGAGCGGCCTGTTCAACAGTTTGGACGGTGTAACGTGTAACGATGCCAAGGTAATTGTCATTATTATAATCTTGTTGAAATGTCCTTTTTTTTATTAACTAATACCGATGGCGTCTAATCAACTTCTCGATAACAAAGGGATCCATGTATCTATTTCCTCGAATCCGTCTACCCCCCAAAGCGATTGAAGCTGCCAGGGAGGCCGGAAAACAACCGGACGAATTTTATTGCTTGGCTATGCTTGATGCCACAGGTGTTTGCGTAGTTCCTGGCAGTGGATTTGGCCAGAAAGATGGCACCTGGCATTTTCGCAGCACATTTTTGCCTCCCGAGGAATTATTCGATGGATTCTGCGCAAATTTAAAGAAATTTCATCAGGAATTTCTTTCAAAGTATCGTGACTAGGAATACGATATATTTCTACAATCATTTATAGATATTAGATATATTAGATATTAGATCTTGTGATCCCGTTTGCATAATGTCACCAATTTACGTAATATGTATTCTATACTCTACTAAATATGGTTTGTGTAACATACTGCAAATAAAACGTTACATTGCACATATACATACATACATACATATATATATATATATTTAAGACACGAAATTGCGGTAATTTGAAATTCGCAATGATAAGTGCTTTTTTTATCTACAATCAGAAGGGTGAAGTTCTCATCTCGCGTCTATACCGTCAAGATTTGAAGTAAGACGGTTTTCCAACCTCATTAAATGCTTTCACCTATGGGTCACTTTCGTTCACTGGATTCATAAGTTTAAATGTTGGACAGGCGATCGGTAGCAGATATATTTCGAATACAGGTGATCTCCAACACGGACGTACGATCTCCCATAATTACTCTTGGATCCACCTCGTTTTTTCACGTTCGTCACGAAAACCTCTACATTGTCGCGGTCTCAAAATGCAACGCTAACGCTGCACTAGTGTTTGAGTTCTGCTATCGACTCGTGAACATTGGGAAGGTGTACTTTGGGAAGCTGGACGAAGAAGCAGTAAAGAATAATTTTGTGCTGGTGTACGAATTGTTAGATGGTGAACAATCTTATATTTTGAATTTTTAAATGTTACCTCGGGAAAGTTCCTCTGAGACTCGATAGAATAGTGTTGATTCGCTCCCATTTGTTGGTCGTTGAAATTAATTGAAAAAAAAAAAAAAAGGGAATCAGAAATCAATTGTAATATTGGATAGTTTCGTGACATAGACAATCTATCATTTCGGTAATTCTGACGTTGACGCACTCGCTGTTTTTAGAGGTCCTGGATTTTGGATATCCACAGAATAGTGAAACTGAAACTCTGAAATTATACATCACCACCGAAGGTGTAAAGTCCGAACGTGCCTTAGTATGTACAGTATATCTACCTATTGGAGTGTCTAGTTTATAGGTTGAGAAGGATGCAATAAAAAATTCACCCCTTCATTTTGCCACGACCAGAAAGAGGACTCGTCAAAGATTACGATTCAGGCGACGGGCGCAACGGCATGGCGTAGATCTGACGTGAAGTATCGTAAAAATGAAGCTTTCATAGATGTTATTGAGTCGGTGAATTTATTGATGAGCACCAAAGGTGAGCGATCTTATCCTCCAAATTCGCACACTGTAGTCGTTATGATCAATTATTCATCATTCGTTCCACGACATCCCTCTTTCCCCCCGATGGATGAATCAATTAAAGGTACCGTGTTAAGGTCGGATGTTTCCGGGCAAATTATGATGAGGGCCTACCTTTCGGGAACACCCGAGTGCAAATTCGGGTTGAACGACAAGTTGTTGCTGGAGAAAGATGCGGTGAATAAGGGAACGTATGTAGGAAGACCGTGTCCCTTAAAAAATATTGTTAATCGCGGGATTTTGTGATCCTTCCTTCCTTCCTACGCTAACGTGGTTCCAACCTTGATTGTTGTAGCTCCCAGAGAAGAACCAACACCGTTGAAATCGATGACTGCCAATTTCATCAGTGTGTCAAATTAGGAAAATTTGATTCCGACCGAACCATTAGCTTTGTACCTCCGGACGGGGAGTTTGAATTAATGAGGTTGGTGGCGCGAGATTCACGTCAAAAAGCGTAGATCCACACAGTATTCAATGTCCCGCCATCTTTTTGGCAATTCAAATGAAATAGGTATCGCACGACCGAAAATGTGAATCTCCCTTTCCGCATACACCCAGTGGTCAACGAAGTAGGAAGATCACGTGTGGAATATCGAATCGCAGTGAAGGCAAATTTTTCGCAAAAACTATATGCCAACAATGTTCTAATAAGGATTCCCACGCCTCTCAACACCGCCAATATTAATTTACGCGTTGTCGCCGGCAAGGCAAAATACGTTCCGGCTGAGAATGCTATCATATGGAAGTAATGTCACGGAAAATTTTTTCTTTTATATATTCGAGTAGAAAAAAAGATGATATACATAAATATAAACATATATATGGACACTTCGAATGTCCATCACTAATTCACATGTCATTTACACAGGATACCTCGGTTTCAGGGGCAAGCCGAAGTGACACTATCGGGCGAAGCTGAATTATCGGCAATGACGATCAAAAAAGCGTGGTCGAGGCCTCCAATTTCAATGGATTTTCAAGTGTTAATGTTCACATCCTCGGGATTGTTGGTTAGATTTCTGAAAGTTTTCGAAAAGAGTAATTACAACAGCGTCAAATGGGTACGGTACATGACCAAAGCAGGAAGTTATCAAATTAGGGTAAGCATTTTTTTTTTTTTCAATTTAATTGCAATTTCATGAATTGTCTAACTTTAAATTATAAATTCTATTTTGTCTAGTTTTAATTAAATCACAATGATTACTCTTTTTTTTTTTTTTTTTTTTTTTTTTTTTTTTAAAAAAATATTACATTCCTCCTCTCCATGTACTAGTAATAATTATTAATAAATTCTAAAATTGTTACACTAATCACCTGAACGTGACCCATTCAGGTAATAAGATGAATTGCCAATTACAGCATTCCCCTCCTCTGGAGTAAGTAGATCATTTACATTAAAAAAAGGATGTTTGTGTCAGATCCAAAACACAAACAGAATACGATGAACCAGTTACACAGAGCCTGCCTCCCTTTCGTGACCCGTTGGCCTAAGGAGCTTTTCTTTTCTTTTTTTCTTTTTTTTTTTTTTTTGCAAGGTTTCAGGAATTTCACTTGGATCGGGCTTGGCACAAAGGTCCATTGATCTGCACTATGAGATTGGGCTTGGTTAGATTTTTTAAAGATCGAAAGATCATGATCACTCCTGTGATGTGGTGATGTATCAGGAAAATCGGATAAGGCTCAGGGTCTTCAATGTAATATTTAATTACATACATATAAACGTTTTATAAACGTTTTATTACAAATCCACCTATAAATTTTATTTGCACTCTTTTAAAAAAACCTCGAAAAATGTACAAGAACATCTCGCAAGACGAAGATGTGAAACATGCGAAACCTGGTGGTCTTATGAGATACTTGTGTTGCGGTGGTAGAGCTACTTGCGGAAAGACTTGTGGGATCCTATGTTGTCTTCTCCTCTTGATCATTGCCGGAATTGTTGCTGCCGTCTTACTGTGGGCTCGTCCTCCTGAAGTCACTTTTCTGGGGGTCGAACCTTCCACCACCCTCGCTCCTTACGTCGTTACCTCTGCAGGTTTCGACTTTAACTTTAATCTTGTAATTCAAGTGGACAATCCAAACATTGTTGGCGCAACCTTCTCAATGATTAAGGCTGTGGTAGGTCTATTCTTTCATTCAAAAGAGAAAAAATTTACCTCTCTGCGCTGATTTAAGCGCATAAAAAAGTAACGTAAATATACGAATTCTTTTCAAGGCATTCTATCCGGGTCATCAGGACCCGATTGGCGGTGGAAATTTAACCGACGTTAAAATTCCTGGAAAGGCAAACACCACGATACACTTTCCATTCTCAATAGATTATAGTTCAAAAATTGATCCAGACTATACAATTCTGACGGATATCGCAAAGAAATGTGGTCTTATTGGTAACAACAAGACCAAATTGGAAATCGACTATACCTTAACTTTATCCGTAAAAGTTTTGTTGATTTCCATCAGCCCGAGCTTCAACAAGAATGCATTCTTTGACTGTCCAATTCAAGTAACTATTTTCATGGATACATATTCGCACTATTATTAACATTAACATTCTCTACATTAACCATTGATTTTAAAATTCTTTTAGGATGGGAAATTACCCGACATACCAGGATTCAACGTATCCCAGGTCTCTAAGAGCCTCACTGGAGGTTCTAAAAGGCGATCTACATACAATTTCTTATAAACCGCAAGACATAATTTTCATTATTTATTTTATTTCATTTTTTATTCTATTTTATTTTCGGACATTCTGAGGGTATCTTTTATTTTCATTTTTTTTTAAAAATAAGTCGTTTATTCGTGTACATACGCACACACTATTCATCATTCTCATTTGATCTCACAATTTCAAAGGCCTTATTGTGTACATAGCCACGTTCTAATAATATTCACATATTAGAGTAACTAATTAATACATGATCAAGTTGCCTTAATCAAAGGTGAAATTCATTTTTGAGTCTCTACAGTGTCTCGTTATTATTCCGACGATATATCGTTTTCATCCTATGTAGTCGATTAATCTCGATGAATCTGTCTTATGATACCTGTGTGCTTTAGAAATTTGATTGTTTGAGCGAAGCTAGGAGAATAATCAATTATCGATTATCACTCACCAATCTCTCTTACCTAAATGATTGTTCTCCCTCCTCCTCCTCCTCCTCCTCGGAGTCCACCCCATTAATTACTTTTTCTAAAATCCGCCTAATCTCTCTTACTTCCTCCCCGCATCTCAAACACCTCCAGGTCCTATCCTCTTGAGTCAATTTTGTCTTTATACAATAATAACAATATCTATGGCCACAATTTGTCTCATATGGACTATGTAATCTTGTAGAGTTTGCGTTGACATCAGGTGTCATCGCATCCACTTGATTCTGGTAACATATTGCACACGTATGAGCTGGTAAAAAATCAAGAGAACGATGCTTGAAATATGATTCAGGAAGAAGAGCACGCTGCACGAGATTTTTCAGTTTTCTCAGGTTGATGAGTGGCATGAGAAATAAAAGGAATTCCTT